TCTGAACTCTATAAAATCTTTATTAGAATGATCTCAAATGACACTTTTGTTGAAAATATGAGGAAAGAGGCAAACTTTTGCAAAATGATTTTCTATATCAGACTATGTTCACACTCACACAAATGAGTCAAAAGTGCAGAGGATAAAAGATCCCGTTGCTTCTACTGATTGCTGGTGGTTAAAGGGCATTTTACTTGATTTGGCAAAGCAAAATGTAGTCTTAAAGGTTCTTATATAAAGGGTTTGTGTATTTTAAGGCAAGACCATACACCATTCCTTAATTAATGAAATTATTAAGACAGCTTTGTTTACAACCCTCTCTCAAAATTATGAGACATGAAGCAGGGCAATGTATGTTGATGGACTAAAGGTATGGAAGTTGTCTTGTGCAGTCAAAGGCAAGTGGCCTTCCTACAAGTTATCTTCCAGATGTTTCTGTTTACTAATAATATTGTGCTGAGTGTATCAGGCCCTAGAGTACTGTAGGACCTTCTCAATCAAATTCCTGACTGCTCAAAAGAGATCAGTAAAAGATGTCATGCAGGGGTAAAAAGCTACACCAAATATATCAAGGATGCTCACACTATATAATATTGCTGCATGGTCAATCCACTCATTTAAGTCTATTAGTAAATTTATCTTGGACAGTCACTGTAGGAGGATAATGAACTGGTCCTAAAGCTAAGCAGGAGGAAAAGAGTGGGCTATATTGCTCAGAAAAACGTGCAGAATTGTCTACTTCTGAGAACAAAATCCTATCTTTTTAGCACCATTATTTTTCTGGTGATGCCATATGGCTGTGAATTACAGAACACCAAAATCTCAAAAACATAAAAATTACAGGCATCCCCAAAAGCAATGGAGAGATTGATACATGATGGAAAATATTACCAGTGATTATTTGCATGCAGTGAGTAGTGTAGAAGTTATTATAGAGCAGACCTATGATTAGGAAAGGAAAAGGACCACTTACAAGTAAACTGACATTTAACAGGTTAAAAGTTTGGGTGTTGCATTAGAATCCAAGAAATGCGAAAAGAACTAGAGAAAACCTCCCAGTTCATTGAGTAGCATCTTCTCTGGGGTGTATTTATGGGAGAATGTAAACAAGAATCATATGGAAGGAAAAACACATGGAAAAGCTGTGATCTGTGCCATGAGACAGTGTCCCCACTGATGAGTTCACATATCCACTAAAATACTGAAGCGATATGTGCAAAATACTATGCTAGAGACTTTGAGGAAGACAGAACTTTAACAAAAGTGGTGATTACCCTCATGGAGTTTACAATCTAATAGGGGGACAATGTGTTAACATACTCAAATATTCAAGGATTTGATGATACACATAATACACAAATATTTATATATTATGTAAGAAAAATGCAAACAAAATATTATGTGAGATCAGAGAAAAAGATTACTACTAACTGGGGCAATCAGGGAAGGCTTAATATAGAAAGTACCTTTTGGACTGGGTTTTAAAGGATGAGTAGGATTTCTTAGGTTGGTGGTGATGGAAAGTAAGCTGCATTGGGGGGGTTCCTTCCATACCCATTCCTTATAGAAATGAGATTACTACAGTATTGAACGATTGCAAATTATAGCTTTTCACTTAAAAATCAGAATTTAATGACACAGAAACACTCATCTGCTTAAGAAACAGTTTAACATTACTGCAGATCCATGCATCTGTGGAACTGGACTAACTAAACAGCTCTAACTCTAAGTGATAATCAAGATGTATAGTGCAACTATCATTTTGTGCTCAGTAGAGGTTCCTATTGCTTCTCTGCAGAGGTAGTACCACAGAATGCTAATTTTTCCTCATTATTAAACACATAAAAAAGCTTTGTCTGCAAGACAGAGGCTATCAAGTAGAGCTGACTAAATGTAAATTTAATACGGTCCTGAGTATGTTGCATTGCAGATAGCTTTTACAAATAAGCCTTAAGGAAAGAATCCTTTCCTCCTCCTATATACAGATATTTTTTACCCAGATGGCATCACTTTTTACACAGAAAAAGACCCTCCTTCTCTCCCAATCTATTTTTTAAATACGAGGGCCAGTGACTCATGATAAAAATCTCTAATGGTTAACGAAATGAAATTTTCTTGCCTCATATATTTATCCATCTTAATTTTTCTAATGGCAAAGTTTGTTGAATTCCTTATTCCAAACAACTGGTCAACTCCTACATATCTAAGCAATAATGTGCCGCCACCAAAATAAATAAAATCTGTCATTGTCTATGCCATCAATCACATCTACACTTACCCTCCCTCAGATTACTTTTATTTAGCCACAAACTATGTGCTTTCAAAATGCTGTCACGATAAAATTACATTATATTTTTCATTATAACATAATAAAATAGGTCATGTTTATATGCATTTAACCGTGAAACTCTCTGAACTTGGTTTCTCCTTTCAGAATAAAGAGGAAGAAAATTGAGACCTACTTCCAGTGAGAAGTGTCCAAGTTCCGATTTCTTAACCATTAAGAAAACATTTGTCTGTGATTTGGAAATAATCTGATTTCTTGTTGAATCCACCACATAAACAGAGATCCTAATGAGAACGTAAACCACATGTCAGTATCTCTGCATCCTCACCTTCTTTGCCATCATCTTCTCTGGCGGCATACATAGATCTAAAGGGCTGCTCTTGAATCCTTGAAGGAAAGGTAAGAATGTGGTAGAGAATGAAGTGAGTAATAAGTCCTCAAATAATACCTTATTGGCTGACCATAAGTTCTCTCTCTGAAGAAATATCTATTCTAATATTAAGCAGGTAAACCCATCTTACAACAGAGTTGACCACATGTTCCTTCCCTGTGGCAGAATGAGGTTAGTTGTCATGGAAAATCATGATCAAATGAGAATAGTAAATAGATCAATATTAATGGATTATGGTTACTGAGCAGACTGGGAGGAGCTTTGTTGTGATTCTAATTAGAATACTCAGTTGACAACACAAGATGACTGAAGGAGGGCATTCAACTTCTCTACTGCTGACTACCATTTACAGGTTTCCTAATGCCATAAGGTTTTTTGTTTGTTTTGGTGAGGCAGTTGGGGTTAAATGACTTCCTAATGCCATAAGTTTTAAACAAATGGTGACAGGCAAATACCACTACTTTAAAATTCAGTATGATCCTTGCAACCTGTTTAGAAAACACAATCAACCTTAAAACACATCTAGGTGGCGCAGTGGATAGAGTGCTGGGCCTGAGTGAGGAAGACATCTTCCTGAGTTCAAATTTGGCCAAAAACTCTTAACTAGCTGTGTGATCCTGGGCAAGTCATTTAATTCTTGTTTGCCTGTTTCCTCATCTCTCAAATGAGCTGGAGATGGAAATGGCAAACCACTCCCATACCTTTGCCAAGAAAACCTCAACTGGGGTCACAAAGAGTCAGTACATGACTGAAAAATGACTGGACAACAAAAGATTACATAACCTGAATGTCACTTCACCCCTGAAAAGGACACCATATACACCTAAAGGAAAGCCTATATATATTTTCATACATACACACATATACTGAGAATCAGAATCACTTCTGACATTAGTGAAGAGAGAGTTCTTTATAATGTATCCCTTGTCTCCTATCCATTTCCACATCTCATTTATGATTGCTTTTTAGCATTTTCTGAACTCCAGAATGGCAATCCTTTCACATCAATTTAACATTTCTATAAATCCATGACTTGGAATTCAACTTGGCTTCAAACGTCTCTCCTCCAATTCTTTCTTTGTGGTTCTCCACAGCATCAAGTGCTTCTGGAGTGGGAACCCAGATGTCTATGTGCCTCATTCTTATATAGTCTCATCTGCCTGGAACTTGCTTCTTTTCATCCACTAGGTTATCAATTTGCTTTTCTCTTGCTTTATACTGAATGAAATATTGTGCTAAGTGAGTCAATTTGCATAGTTGCCTTTTTAAAGATCTGATGTAGAGCTAACTGAAATTCTCTGCATGGATTCTCATCTATTACTTGAAACATTTACCTAAGTTCTGTGGAACTCTGTGTCTGTGGAACAGAAAATGTATCACTAAAATATTTTGGAATATAAATTGTCATGTGCAATCAAGTTAAATATTAGAGGATTCAACCTGACAACAGAAATTACCAAATGTCAAATTCTCTCCACCCCACCATTAATTTTGGGATTTAGGATAAAGGCTCTCTGTTGTCCTCAAAACAGTAATGTGTTTACTCTTATGTGAACTGACAGAAGTGGTTAACTCTTAGCTCTAGACTGACATGCTATAGGCATTCCAGGGCATCACTGAGATTTTTTAATGAGCTTTTGGTTTTGTCTTAAGAAGTGAACTCTTGTCACCAACAAATAAAAATCAACCAAGAAAGACCCAACCATGGTTCAGAGTTCATGAATTCTGGAATCACTCTAGATTTAGCTAAAAATTACTTCCCCTAAAGTAAATTTGTATGAAGCAACAGTTCAGTTTACAATACACAAGCAGTCTCAGTACCCAAGTTTAATTTGCTAGGAACCATCCACAAATGAAACAAATTTAATTTTTTGATGGTCAACTACTTATCAGACAAATGAATCCAAGATAAATTAATTCCATTTTAAATAGATTCCAGAGTTTGACAAATTTTTAGTACTAAATAATATGTTCAACTTTCACATTTACTTATTTAAATAAGTTAGGAATAATAAATGGTGTGTGTGAGGCAGCATGGAATAGTGACACATTTTAGGGTAAGACCTGAGTACTCTCTTTGAGACAGTGTGTGACCATGGGAGGTCACAACCTCTCAGTGCTTCCAGGCAACTCTCTTAAGACTGAAGTTACAAAGAGCTGGCCATCTGCATTGGTGTAGGGAGTTTCTATACAGATAAAATCACAGGTTTCCAACAAAAAAAGGGGCCAACATTAACACACCATTTTAAAGGAAGAATAGTTAAAATGTTAAAACAAAAAATTATGGGGATTAAGTTAGGAAATGATGAACCTGACAATTGCAATAATTAACTTTCAATTTAATGTAATACTTTTAATACCAAATAACAGATGTTTATATTGTTTTATTGCATTAATTACATGCAAACCCCTAATTTGCTTTGAATGTGTATTTTCATTTATCATACAGATAATGAAAAATCCCACCCGCCCTTACCCCCAACAAATATCAAACAATCCTTTCAAAAAATTAAGCCATTAACAGAGTGGCCATACAGTGAAGCACTTTTCTACTGCTAATCATGCAAAATGATTTAATTGATTTAATCTATTTTACTACATAGCAATGTGAGGTTACGTCAATAAAAAAAAATATTTCAGACTAAGTAGATTTTGTTAAACCAACATTTTTAACTCCAGCAAACGGGAAACTTTTTTTCTGTGGGCACTAAAAATTGAGGAAAGCAAAGCAGGTAATTTCTTAAAGAAAATACAATCCACTTTGTGTTATCACATAAAGCAACTTCCAGAATTTTAGCACATAACCTACTTTACCAATCTGTGATGCAAGTTATCTATCAATTTATAACAGTAATACAGTTCAATTCCCCAGGACTATATTTAATGAAATTAATGCATTACATTTCCAGTTAGGCCAAAAACAAGGTATAAAAGGGCATCTTATTAGCAGTTCTAAATCTGCACAAATTCTCAACGTCATGACACCTAGCCACTAGCAATCAGCCTGGTGAAAAGGCAGTACCAATAAGATTCAGGGCTTTGGTCCTCCAATTTCCCTTGTGGATAGAATCCTTGTTTTATAAGTGACGGGATCCAAATTTCAGGGATAAGTTTGGAAACATCAGTTCAGTCCTCAAAAACATCCTTAGCAGAAATAGTTTTTTCTGATGGGAAGGTGAAAGACTCTTAAAATCCATTTCCTTTACTAGACACGTACATCATATTCAAGGGGATTAAAAAGGGTTGGATGCATAGAGGAAAAGGACCAACACATTTGTATGATCTCATCAAGAATGCCAGATTAAGGAGGAAAATGATGTGCATCACACATCATATATGTGAATGTGTATAGTAATATGAGGGAAAAAAAGGATCAGATCAGATCAGATAAATACCACAATAAAATTAGGGGTACAGAATTCAAGAAACATCCTACTTATTATGAAAATACTTTACTATAAATATCCCTACTTCCTTATCTGCTATTCAGAGAGAAATAACATTTCTGTGCATTATTGTCCTGTCTTGGCCATGTGGATTGGAAGGTTTGGTTGAGGTGTGATTAAGAAGGCTGGGCAGGAAGGAAGCTTAAGATAGATTTTGCTTACATATTTGAAAAGAATTTGTCAGTTTGGCTGATTAATGAGACATTTGGTTAATCCAGGGAAAGAAAAGATTTTTATTATTTCAGTCTAAATTTATTCTTAATTTTGAATTTTATACTGCCCCAAGACACCGTTAGCAATTTTTCTCTTCTCTCCTTTTCCCATCTCTGGACTCTCTAACACCCTTAAACACTGTACAAGCCATTCAAAAAAGTTGTTTCCTAAGGCACAGGTCTGGAGAGGGGTATGTTTCATTATCTTTTCTCCCGGACATTGACTGTTATTTTTCAGTTACTATTCTCTAAAACACTAAGGTAAAGGAACATATTTTCCACAGGTCCACTGTCTGCTTTCATAGTTAGATGGGAGGATAACCAGACATTTTCAATGACATTTAGACATCTAAGCTCTAGGGTGACTAAGTCTTGATCTGAGCTGAAGTGTTGATCTTGGCCCTCTGCAAAAGAGAAAAAACTCAATTACTTGAAAAGGGATCACTTCCACAGGAAATAATAGATTACTAATGTCTGCCTGGAATTTGCTTACTACAAAGTATATGATTCCATTTCTATTTTGCAGTAATGGCACTACTAGACATCCTACCACATATCCATAGGAACACAGGCGCTTAAGACTCGGAAAAATTAGTTGTCAAATCTAATCCTCTCATTTAACAGATGAGGAAACTGAAAAGAACAGAGAGGAAGGGACTAGCTTAAGGTCATAATCTCCTTACTCTCAATGTACTATTGGAGTTGCCATTGTGCCACTTGGGAAATTCATTCCATGCCCAATTCCAGACAGAACGTCACACAAACCACTTCAAAGAAATCATTGCTTAACTTTCTCTAACAGGATTATTTAAGGGGCTGGTCAGGCTACAAGCGAAAGTGACGGGGCACAGCTTACGTCCTGAAGCTCAGAAAAGCCCTCCTAGTTCCTTCCTACAATCAGTTTTGGGGAGTTGAAGATGACAAGGAGCCTATTATGGTAGCTACCTGAAAAGTGGTTTAGGGCTGATGTGCTAAGTAAGGGCCTCCTATGCTACCCTGTGGCAGAGATGTTGGTGAACTGTGGTCAAGATCAGAAAGAGAAAAACCACATTGCCTGAGATTAACAATGGCTAAGGAGTTTTAGAAAGCCCCAGGTCCTCATGAGGGGCCTCTGTGAGGATTCTAATCTATCTTGAGAGACAGTGAAATTAAAAAGCACTAATTCTTGTATTTGATGAGGATAACATCTGATAATAGTAATAGGGAATCCCTAAATAGTACCTTAATGCCTTGAAACCACTTGTGTTTTGGATCAGAAGTGTCAAGCACACTACCCGCCCCCCCCCCAGCTGCTGAACCAGACTGAAATGTAATTGGGAAACATTTAATAAATGAAAATACAATAGAATATAGGTACTGTTATTATGTGGTTTTCTAAGTTAATATGTAGTCTGCAGAGGGGTTAGTGGCCCTGTTTCAATTTGAGTTTGAAACTACTTCGGGAGGAAACAATTTCTAGAGGTCACAGGGAACAAGACTCAGTTATATCTTCCCCAAATTATCTGATTCTGTAATTAATGTTAAAGTTCTACCTTTAGAACCATGTGTGCAAGAGAAGTAAACTTTAACTTAGTTTGTAAGAGAATAATTTTATCTTGTAATTTTCACTTATGGAAGACTAAATTTTTAACAACCTCAAACACAAGTTATCAAGGTGAACGTGACTCAATCCTTACCTAGACTGGCAAAATTTAATATCGCAAATTATTAAGCAATTTTAAGAAGAACAAAATAAAGCTACCCTGCCCCCCCAAAAAAATCTCATTTCCTTGAAGTTCTATAATTTATTATGAAGAGGAAGGGAAGAGAGGAATTAAACTACTTTGTCAGAATGAATAACAATAAGCAGTTCTTTTTATTCATTAAGGGCTTTTTAAATCTGTTCTTTCTCCTGGAAAGGCTAAAATTTCCCATAAAAAGACTGTCAATTATATTGAATTATAGCAATTCCTATTGAAAGTACAGTATCATTATCTTGGGACTTGACAGTAATTATGCTATAAATACCTATTCTGGGAGTTTAATACTCTACCACAAAAGTTTACTGAGCCCTGGCACCAAAGGTCTCACTGTATATGTTATTTTATTATTGGATTATATATGCCAACAATATGTAACTTATCCTACAACTTTATCCTAAAACTCTCAAGAACACAGAGTTAACTAGATAGCATGAGGAAGAGACAAAGTGAGAGTTCATTCCATGAATAAATGCATGGATAAGTACTTATAAATTAGTTTCACAGAAAAAGTATAGCTCAAAGAACCATTTTATCATCGGTCAGTCTTTAAAATAAGTATGCTATCCCTCCTCCTCTCCAAATGTAATAACATTCTTTATTTAAACTAGGAATAATGAGACTAAATGGTGCTAAAAAGTAAAAATAAAAAATATCATTCACTAGTTTATTTTTCCATCTGAGCAACCAGCTATTTACACATAGGTAGGTAGGTCTCAAATGATGTATTAAAATGGCAATTCTATCAGTCTGAACTCTAAATGAAAAAAAGATTTCCTTTCATTAAGGCACATTCAACCTGTAATTTTAAAACAAATTTTAAGTTTTCTGATGCAATCATATACAGATCCATTTGACTTATTTTCCTTTAATGTATGAGCACCAAAAATGTCCAAAATCACTTAATTTGTAAAATGAAAAGACTACAAATTATAGGTAGGAGGGAAAAAAAAACTTTTCAAAAAGAACTCTTTGGAGATCAGTTTACTGCAAAGAAGACATACACTAACAGTGATTTTTTAAAAATTCCTAATACACACAAATATTAATAACTAACAGGCATTCAAAAATAGGACAGGAATCTATGCCATGGTTATTAAATAAATTAAAAGGTATATCAGATACAGAAAAATAAAGCAGTTTTCAAAGAATGAAATAACCATCTTCAACATAACACAAATGGGATAAAGTGAATGCAGTTAGAAATACAGAACACTGTATATTTTCCCCCCAATGTCCTCATTAGAGAGGGAATTGTTTTTTAAGGTTTACTTACATACTTTAGATTTGCAACAATAATTCTGCATTGCCAGACTAAATATTAACATATTGCCTTTCAGCTTTAAAGTAAAGGACCAGGAAAGGAGAAATACTAAATTCCCCTTGGAATATGATTCAAATCCATTTAGGACTTAATGCCAAACAAATTGCTATGAATAACCACATAACATATTGTGCTTTTCCCACTTCCCCTTCCCCAAAAGTTACATAATCACAACAAAATTATAATTTGGGTGAAATAACCTTTGAAAGTAATTTTGAAGATAATGACACAACTACTGTCATATTTCCTTATTTTATAAACCTGAACATGTAATGGCTTTTTTAAAAAATAAAAATCTTTTTGAAAAAGAAAAAAGGTAGAATCTGTGCAATGTTAACAGTCACAACAGAACATTTACCAAAGATACAGTGTTTTGTTACAATAATACTTTGCATTAATGTTCATGTTCTCTACTATAGAACCATAGCAAAGAAGTCTGGAATGAAAAGGTTAAAAAAAAAGATTTTTTTGTTCATCATAGTTCTATTTCAAGTCACAATTATGCAGGATTGCTACATAATGTTCAACAAGATGTGTTCAAAGGCAAATATTGATCACATTTTTGTTCAAAAAGCTCAGTCTCTAAGGAGTTCTTTGTAAGAAAATCACTTCTAAAATATATCCTTGTGTGGACTTCAAAAATGACCTATCATATTAAAATTTTTAAAAATAAATTAGGTAATTAAAAAAAGAGTCTTATCCAGCAGAGCTGGACATCAGGCTGTCCTCACTGAGCCATTATTATTGCTGCTTTTCCCATAATTTGGGTCATTTTTTTCTAGCCATAACTCAGCCAACTGCTGTGTAGATCCATATGTTGATGCTTTAGACCCTAAGCACATTTTGTACTGTTTGGGATCAAGATTAGGATCACAAAAGACAGGATGGTGAACATGGACTACTCCAACTTCTTGGCTTCTAAAAGTCTTCAAACCAGCTTGAACCACTTTGTTGAAAAGGTCCACATCCTCAAGTCCCCAACCTTGAATAGAAACATCAAAGCCACCTACTCTAACAAGATCTCCCTTATAAATACAAGTAATGCCAAACCCATAGTTTCTCCAGAAGCCAGTTTTCTGAGTGAAGGCAAAATGGTTGTCACTGGGAACTGTCCCACTATAAACAATCTTTGGATCATACTGGCTGAAGATGATTGGAAAATATATTTGTTGGCCCAAAACCGTATTTGCTCGACATCGTTGTAGGAATTCTGTAGTAAACACCAGGTCAACATCACAGAAGAACAACAAAGATTCATTATTAAACTGAGAAGATCCAACTTCAAGTGCCAGAGCTCTTGAGAATTCTCCAGAAACTGGCAAAATCTGCATATCAGCTTTAGGATATTTAACACGATAATCTCTCATCAATTCTACTTGTTTTGCTTTGTCAGGGTTAGAGTCAGAATTGAAAAGTAGGACAACAAGCTTGACACTTTGATTTGGAATGAGACATGTCTTTTCAAAATTCCCCATAAATCTCACAAACATGTCAAATCGTCCAGACAAAGGAATCAAGATATTTATCTTTGTATCTTTGGGTTCTTTGTTTTCATTTTTTGATCCAGGAAGCTGAAAAGGAACAAACATCTTCAGGGAATTTGAGAGAAAAGATAAGGATCCAGATTCCTGGTTAATTTTGTTGGCCAATTCTTTGGCATCCATTTCTTCATGCTCCATAAACTGGATCTTGCTGAAGGTCTGTTGCAAGTAGGCATGCCTTCTCACAGGAACAGTCATTTTTTTCCCTTTATGTTTTTTGTACAGGAGTAGAAGGTCGAGAATGTATTCAGCCCCATACATTGGATTGACTCTACGATAACCATACTGTATTTCCTTGAAATCAATAATTCGCCCCCTGGTCTTAGCATTTGCATTGATCATTTCCATGACTTGCATAACAATGTCTTCCAAAGCTTCTCTCTGAGAAGAGTCCATTCCTCTCCTGGGGGGCTGACCATCAGTAGCTGAATATAAGTATTTTCCAGTAAGAAACTCCCATTCTAAAATCTCCTCTCGCTGACGTGGCTGAAACCTCATAAAAGAAGGTGGAATTCCCAACTGGAGATCTTCTTTGTGAATCTCTGTGTTACTGTACTTGCTCATCAGAACAATTTCTCTGTGGAGCTGTATGGTTCGGTGACGCAGTTCAGCTATTTTGCGACTCAACATGTAGCTGTGAAGTCTATATTGGTAAGGAGGGTTTTTGTTGGGATGTAAAGTTATAGCTCGGTGGATTTTGCTGTTGTGCAGATCTCGGATGTAACCCTTTTTGTTCTGTTCGTAGTTCTCATAAAATAGCTGCTGCATCTAGTTTAAAAAAAAGATAAACAAAGTTATTATTTTAATATTGTATAATTTTTAACTCTGCTCTACTTCAGCAATTCTTGATCTACGCATTAGCCCACTCTAAAGATCCTTAAGAATAAATCTTTCTGAATAAATCATAATACATAAAACGCATTGGTTATAGCTTGACCAGCTGTAAGAGGATTATGGGAAATATTAATAGAAAGCTAATGAAGGAAGAGCTGTAAATAATTATTTTTACAGTAATCTCTATACTTGGTACCCAAGGTTTGTAGTTAACATAATGTTATAGTCAACAGTGGAATCTCCAGAAAGTTGCTCCTGAATGTTCCATAAGGAGATAAGTGAGTACCTGCTGATGTAACACACAGACGTTATCCTTAAGTTAGCATTCTTGAGACAAATGTTCACCATTAACTAAAGAAACTCAAGCGCTACACTTCTCAAACTGAGGACGTAAACAGTATGATGCTATTTGTCTTCCTTCCCTATCCCCCCAAAATCATAGGGTTAGCAAAAATTCTCACTTTGCCTCTTACAAGTAACAAGCTACCACTGCATGGAACTCTAGCAAAATCTCCAGGATGAGAAAGGGGCAGGTATCTAGTAATGCTTTGAAATATTTTAAAGAGCCCCAATTCCCTCCCCCAGAGAAACCCACATATTGCAACTACAGACTCTTTGACCCCCATCCCCCCAAAACACCCCCCAAGTATTGAAGTTGCAGCCTCTTTGAAGTGGCACGCAACAACTTTCACCTCCTTTTAGCCTTTCATGCTATAAAGGCTCATAAAAAAGGTCAAAGAACATGAGGCCAGAATCCTTCTCTTCAAAGAATGAAGACTAAAGAGTTATATTTTATTCCTCAGTAAAGTTGAATAACTAAATAAAATAAATACTTAAAGTCTTTAGGAAAAATCTAATCATTTAAAAAGATTTAAAAATATAAAGAGCATTGTCACAAATTAAATTGTTAATTTATGTAAGTAGATGTAACTGATACTGAAAGTTTAAAATAGATGTTTGATAGCAAAAGCAAATTCAGCAAAAGAAGTAATAATGAGACATGATTATAAGTATTCTTACTATACGATGATTATTTTTATACTCTTCTGTGTTCCCTTCCCTCATGAGTATTCTGAGATTCAGACACAAGTTTAAAGTATTCTAATTACAATGTATCTGAAAACTATTATACCAGAGAACAATTTGATATAAAAAAAGCCTCCATTTTCAAGCAGTTTTTAGCATAGGCTGAAAATTTAATTATTAAAGTTGAATTATTTCAAAAGAAACCAGAGATAAAATTTTAGCTCTAATTGCTGCTGTCTCTTAATGCTACAATTTTAACAATTCTTTAGAACTCTGGCAACCTGATGGGATAACAGCCAAATGAAATTTAGTTCAAGTTAATTATATTAGGCAAAGAAATAAAACACCTATATAATTTGGCATCTACCTAGTCAAAAGTCAAATGATTAGTGCAATAATAATGAGTACTTAAGGTATTCAGTCTTCAATTGGGTACTGAATACTATCTGCTAGTCAAACACCACTCAAGTTAACTCTCAATCAACCACAGTTAACAGAAGGCACAAACCCCACAAGTTTGAGCCAGGAATTTGTAAGAGTTTTTCTTTTCGCCAAAAGTAGCATCTGAGTCCCAAAGTAAAACAATGAGAAAAAGCAGCCAAGTACCTGAGAAAAGCCAGGTGCTGAGCTAGAAAATTTGTCAGTTTTTTTCCTGGATATTTTGTAACATTCTGTACCAATTAAATTTGGAGAGGGAGGGACATAGTTTTATACAAGAGAGTGGTTTCCTTTAGCTACTGCTATTTCTGAAACAGAGAAAACACTTAAATGAAATATTGCTTCAATTCAGGTTCACACTGATTTATTAGTTGTTTAGAAGAAAATTTTCATTCAGGATTTAACAAACTAGTATGATTAATAATGAATGACTCTAGCAGAATTTTAGGCACTGTATCATTTAGTTAAGGAGATATTTGCAAACTATAGAGGGGGAAATCATCGAATCAGACCACGACTACTTTGGGTGTATTGAAGCTGGGATGCTTGGCTAGGTAGGTCTCTGAAGCTCCTTCTAAGAGGCTGAGATTCTGAGATTCCAGGTTCAGGCTCATGTTCTGGCACTGGAAGAGTTAGTCTGGAAAAATTTCTACCTCCTCAGTCTCTTTCTCATTTCTCCTTTTAACGTACAGTTGAATGACAAGGAGTATTGGGCCTGAACAGGAGAAGTAAAATTATAATAGAGAAAGCAAAGATCTCATGAGGCAACAGAAAGAAATGATAGCTCATATTTTTATAATGCCTTAATGAAAGTTTACAAAGTGTTTTCCTTATAAGAACACTCTGAGGGAGATAGTACAAGTGCCATTATCATTATTTACAAATGCAGAAACTTAAACAGTTTATCAATAAATGACTTGTCCACTGTCACATAGTAGGTTGTGGAACTAACACTGGAAAACAGGTCTTCTGATTCTAAGACTAACCAGTGAGTAAAGTGAATAAAGGGGAAAATTAATCTTTTGGTATAACAAGTTAATAAGGCAGCTGCAAAACCAAGTAAATAGGTTTAAGAAGGCTGGTCCTAACACAAAGATTAATATAGTTGGGTCCTAAGCCCAGTCCTCTAACATTAGCAGCTCATATTTATACTATATTTTTTTACAACATCTTCTCTCAGGTATGCTGTTGATTCTTTGGATTCTCGTCCAAGCTCCTAGAGCCTTCTCACTCTGGAAGATCCCTTCATCCTTGGACCTCTAGTCTAGTGAAATGTCCAGGTAAGTCACAGTCACTCTTATTTCTCTCCAATCTCTACTCCTGACTCTCCAGGATTTTCCATCCAGCCACCACATGGGTACCTTTTCCATCCCCTCCTCCACTTTTGGCTCCCTTGTTATGTATGTTTTCTCATTAGAATGTAAGATCCTTGAGGGCAGAGATTACTTCCTTTTTGCTTGAATTTGTAATCCCAATACTTAGGGTAGTATGTGAAATATTTTAAAAATAACTGTTAGGGGCAGGTAGGTGGTACAGTGGATAGAGCACCGGCCCTGAAGTCAGAAGGACCTGAGTTCAAATCCAGCCTCAAAACAAACACTTCACTTGACACTTACTAGCTGTGTGACCCTGGGCAAGTCACTTAACCGCAATTGCAAAAAAAAAAACCACAACAACAACAACCAAAAAACCCTGTTGATTTGACTTGACTTGAACAGCCCTGGTATTCAGGTTTTTATCCTTACCCTACATGTGAAAGAACTGAGTATATAAAGTAAACATAACCATTGCTTCTCAAGGTCACAAAATCAGTAAATGATGGAACCAGGAATTGAAACCAATTTCTTAACTTCAAGTTCATTATTGTCTCTCCTATACCATGTTGCTTTTATATTATTCAGATAACTGGATTTTCACTATAGCATAGCAAAAATATTTATAATTCAGCATGACTAGCAGAAAGAACACTGGGCTGGAAATCAGTATATCTGTAATTTAATCTTGGATCTGTGTAATTGTCCCTAAATTTTTTTTAGTTGTAAAGAAAGTACTTCAAAAATAAAGTGTCATATGAATATAAGCTATTATTATAAAACAGAGGTACTTACTTATTTTTCTACCTCACAAAGCTGTTTGAAGGATAAAATGATAATATAAAGGCACCTTGAAAAAGTTCTCAGTAAAGCAAAGTAGTGATTTTTTTAAAGCTAAAAATTCAAGCTTTTACTAAATGATGAACTTTAAGTCTTTAAGAAAATCATACAATCATATTTGGAAGGGACCTCAGAGATTATCTTGTTCAACCTATACAGGAATATCCTTCTATAACATCCTTCACTTAAAGACTTCCTATAAGAGTAGAACATAATCACAATAATTTAGGGTTTGCAAAGTGCTTTACAGATATCACCTCATTTGATCCTTACAATCCTATGAGACAGGTGCTATTACACCCATTCTACAAATTAAGAAACTGAGGCTAAGGAGTTAAGCAATTCGCCCAAGGTCATGTAGATAGTAAGTATCTTACAAAACTCAGGACTTCCTATTAGAAGTCTAGCACTCTATCCATTATGCCAATTACGTGTCTGTGGCTGACAAGAGAGTCTGTTCCACTTTTGGATCAGCCTAGTTGTTAGAAGTTTTAGATCAATACTACATCTTCCTCTCTCAAACTTTCATGAATTGCTTTCACGTTAGCTGTTTTAATCACCATGTTGCACCTATAAATTATACTGAGTTCGTAGTCCCCTAGAAGTCCCAGATCTTGGACAAGTAAAATATTGTTTTGTACTTTAATTTTTTAATCCAAGTTAGGACTCTACATTTCTCTTTCTTAAATTTAATTCCATTAGATTTGATCTATTCTAAAGGATTACAGTTGTGGCTCAACAACAGAGCAAAAAGAAACAAATTACCAATGAAGAATTGTTCATAAGAAGTAACATAAAACATCATGGAATTGTATGACCAGAAAAGGAGGTGGGTCACTCATGAAGCAAGACTGAAGCATAACTAATAGGCGGTCAGCATGTTACCCTGGTTATCCATGCAATACCAAGAGATCTGGAGAAAGGACCCTAGCCTGGAGGGTACTTACTTGTGAATGATTTATGGGAGGGTATGGGCAGGAATCGCACAGGACCTTCTGCACCATGAGAAAGTGTTAAATTATGCACAGTGATAAGGATTATAAATCCATGTAAGTATCAAATACCCACACTACAGGGTTGTTGTAGAGAAGGTATTTTGCAGGGTACTACAGAAATGCGTATTATTTTCTCTTTGCTAGGCTGACTAGAGTACCTCTCTACATAAGTATTGCATCTGCTTCTCCCTCCACTGACCTTTACACATGTTCTCAACTACTACACTACTCTAGTTCCTCACATCAGTGTATCTTCTTAATATGCAATGCTCTTTCATCCTACATTGTCTCTTTTGACGACAACATACTTTCCTAGGGCTTG